TGAGTTTCCTTTTAAGTGCCATCATAACTTACTCATTTTTTATCAAAGAATGTACTTTATGTTTCTAGCATGTCATTCAATTTTTGTTGACTCATATGAAATTTTGAAAATGAATCAAGCAAGTTTTCATTTTTTTTCTTCAACTCATTTCTCTCCATTTCTAAATCCTTGACTATGCTTTCTAACTCAATCTTTGCCGTGACTAAAAACACATTTATTACTTTAAGTTTGGACATGATACTTTTGTATTTCAATGTCTTTTTTTAAAAAAAAAATTAAGAACTAAATCATCATATGCATCTTGTAGTTCATCAAATGAATATGACTTTTCATCTAAAGTACATGAGCTAGAGCCTTGGGAAATAGAGCATACTTTGAAGTCTTCAAGTGTCATGAAGAAAAGGTTGGCAACTTCTTCTTCTTCTTTATCTTGAGAATCATCACTATCACGTCGTGTAGCAACCATTAACTTTTTCTTGTAATTCTTTAAGGAACTCTTCTTGTTTGAGCACTCATACTTGGTGTGTCTTGATTTTCAACACTCATAACATATCAAGTGATCCTTGTTATGTTCTCCCTTAGGCATATCTCTCTTAAAGGTTGTCTTACCCCTATATTTTTTCTTTATAAACTTCCTAAACCTTTTAGCTAACCTGGCTTTGTCCTCATCCTCCTCACTCTTATCTCTCATGTTTCTCTCTTTTTTCTCAATTGTGGACTTTAATGCTATCCTTTTTTTTTATTGGTGTTTTCCTTTTTTACCTCATTTCTTTCACTTTCATGATTTAGGGTCATCTCATATATGAGTAAAGATCCTACAAACTTTTCTAGTTTGAAGTTGTTTAGGTTTCTTGCTTCCTCTTTAGCCATCATTTTTAGTCTCTATGACTTTGGTAAACTATAGAATACCTTCTTTACTAATCAGGCATTAGGGAAATCCTTTCTTAAGGCTTTTAAACTTCCAACTATGTTTGTGACCTTTCAAACATTTAGTTTATAGTCTCTCCTTTTTTCATCTTAAACAACTTATAATCATGTATGAGTAATCTTATTTTTGATTCATTAACTTGGTTTGTTCCTTCATAAGTGGTTTTTAAGGTATCTCAAATTTGTTCTACGGTTTCACAAATGGATAATTTATTAAACTCACTAACACTAAGGGAGAAAAGAATGGTGTTATAGGCCTTGCAATTTGATTGTATCAATTTCTTTTCCTTCTCATCCCACTCTTTCCTAATCTTAACTATCATCTTCCATCCACATCTTTATAGGGACATAAGGACCATCGAGAATTACATTCCAAACCTCAAGATTATAGATTGAATGAACATCTCCATCATCTTTTTCGAATAAAGGTAGTTTATAGCTAAAAATAATGGAGCTCTTTAGATTAAATGCCCCTCACCAATAATGGTTGCAATGAATTCCATTTTGATGTGTTGAGCTTTCCCTTTGAATCATTCAAGGTTTTTAGACTTGTAAAATTTGAGCCCTAGCTCTGATACATATTGTTGTACAATAAGCTCAATGTAAGGAATTCTAAAAGAGTGGTGAATTGGTATCTTTTGAAATTTTTTACCAATTTTAAGAAAATAAAATTTTCTCAAACCAAGTTCCGTTTTTGAGATAAGTAAGACAATAAATTTCTTTGTGAGATAAAAGAAGTTAAGAACATAAATAAACTTTAGAAGAATGAGAAGAAAATCAACATAATAATTTTTATTGAGATTTAGCCTCCTTGCTTATGTCTTCTTCTTTAGATTTACTAAAGAGTTTGAAATCCACTATTCAAATGAAGTTTAATATAGTTCCTTTTATGGATCAAACATAACTTTAACACTAGTTTTTTCAAGGATGAGACAACAACCTCTTTACCTTTTACTTGGGTTAAGGTATAACCACCAAATTAACTACCTTTTGATTTGATTAAGGTATAACTACTTATGTGTTATAATAAATGAGGAGTGAAGAGCTGAAATTCCTCTTAAAGGCTGAGTAGCAAGATAAGTACAAGTGTTTGGTGAGAAAACCAAAGCTCAAGATAAATGTCAATGGAACAATCTTAGATAATCATTCATATTTAATGAAATAGGAATTTGAATTTCTTGAAAAGTTCAAAGAATTCAGACTATGAAACTAGCTAGCATAGACTTTTCTCACTATAAAGATTGGATCAAAGTGAAAAATAATCAAGCTAGTAGTTCATAGATTATCTAAAGTGTGAATATGATTCCTTAAAAATGGATATCCCTAGAAATTGAAAATATAGTAATGTTTGATTTGGGGTAAGTCAATATCATGTTGAACATGAATTGATCTATTAAAACAAGTCTTCCTAAGCACCATTTCCTACAAAACCTCTATAAACCTTCAAATGGGTTCTATCTAAGTTAGTAGACAAAGAAACCATATGAGATATGGATTAGTTGTCTTAGTTAGATAATTCGGACATACATGGCTTATGTGAAGCATGTATGGTTGTAAGTATACGGTATATCCAAAATGGTTTTGGATATTGCTTCGAATGATCAATAGTAATTATCTTACCTTACTAAAGAAAGTGTTCACTAGTAAGGTATAGTGGTAGTGTATGATACTTGAAAAAGGTTCAAGAATCATAATCTTACAATGGAACCTTATCTTATGATTTACGCATCAAATGTAGAAACAAAATCATAAAATTACACAAGAACACTGAGATTAGTAGAATGCATTTTAGAAATGAAGATTCCTAGTGATGCATAGCTTTTGTGTGATAAACCTACTAAGAACCAACATTTGACATTGATTATAAAATGGCTAACAGCCATGAGATTCTAAATGGCTAGAGACCAAGAATGGACTTGGGATAATCCATAGAGATGGATTAAGATCCATAAGGGTATATGCTTGCCAATAAAATGATTTATGAAATCAAGCAAGCACTTTAGAGTTTACCATTCAATTTGATGTGAGAATCAAAAGGTTTTGATTTCATCAAAAATAGGAGTCTTGTGCATACAAAAAGGTTAGTGGGAGTATAATTATTTTCATAAGTGATTTGTATAATTGATATATCACTTATGTAAAACATGAGGTACCTATGTTACAATCTATATTGATTTGGCAATCCAAGGAGCTAATCAAGATTTAGGAAAGGCACCCTAAGCTAAAGGACCTTAAATCTATCTTTATAGATTTAAGGTGATGCTTTGACTTTCCTAATCTATGCGGACATGATGCAAAAAGAATTTAACATAGTTGATCACTTGATAATTGAAGTGATATATGCATATGATGCATTGAGAATTCTTTTACTCATGTGCAAAGTAGTTATTTGGAATGGCTCCAAATGAGGATGACTATGAGTGTCTATAGCTTATGGCCTAATACATCTTATTTTGTTTAAGGCAACAAGAGAGACGTTTTAGATATAAGGTTCAACTTTGAACTAGAAAATGATTCCTAAGATTGTTAAAGTAACAGTGGAGCCATTACTTAAGGAATCAAGGTCTTATTCAAGATCTAAAAGGTATTATGGTATTACCACTTAATGATAGGGATTATCAAGTAGACTGGTAAATTACAATAAAGTGAGTTCCTATAAATCATTGCACCAAAAGTGATTGGCTTTAGTGCAAGTTAGAGATTGTTGATATATGTCTTATAGCTAATCAAATTGGTTAAGGGATATATTGTTATTTATGCATAATCATTTGGTTAAATCCAAATACGAAAAGTTTCCTTCATCAATAAGTTCAATGATAAAAAATTATCATGTACTTGTTGGATGAAGCCCTAAGAATTAAATATGCTTTGCAAAAGAATTATAAAGAGTTACAATTATGAGATACTTATACATCAAAGCATTATTCCTAAATAGCTCCTAGTCATTGTATTATCGAGATAAGGTATCAATAATACTCAAAGACCAACACATGTTATGTTCTTTACTTGTGAAGTAAACAATCGATCTCATAAGTTGAAGTATAAAGATACTAAGAACTGACATATGGGTGGATGTTAAGGAGAACAAGTTCATTGAACATATTGAACATAACTACCATGAGAAGTCCATTTGGTATCTCACTGAATGTCTATGAAATATTTCTCATGTGTCAGTCGTGTAAGTACTCTTTTGACTTGTGACATCAGATTGTCTTATATGTGGACGGCTATACTTTGATACTATTTTACGGGGTTATAACCATAAATGTTGAAATTGATGGTCATTGAGTATAACATGAAACACATAAAGGTAAATGAGTAGTCTAGAAAAAATTCATCATCTCATGTGAATCGTTAAGAGACATATCTTTTTTTTTTTGTTAGTATTAACTCAGGGAAATCCTTAGCCAAAGTAATATGAATATTCAAAAAAAGAGTTTTTTGAATTTTAGAAGAGTTAATAAGTTAATTGCAAGAACTAATATGGAACGGCTTTAAGAATAGACACCATGCCATTCTTTTAGTCTTTTTAAGATATATGATGAAATGAATCACTTTCACTAGTAAACTACACACTAAAAGATTAGTCAAATCATTTTGGCATTCATAACATTTGAATAGTCATGATGCATTGTTAAATCTCAATCTTAGTCTATAAACTTGAATTAATCAACTTAAAGTTAATAATGATTGAGTAGAAAAACTAAGTATATACATATAACAAAAACAAATATATTAATTTCAAAATCTATTCATTCAAGTAACCGATTTCAAATTTTTTTTAACCAAATTGAATAAAAAAACCGATGTAACCAAAATCTTCTAACCAATTTAACCAAATTAATCAAATTAACCAAACCGAATTAATCGAATTTTTCAATTAATTCAGTTAATTTAGTACTGATCATATTCTGCTCACCCCTATTTCGGCCACATCACATACTTACCTATAAATTTCAATAAAACGGAGAAGAGATGTCAATCTTTGAAACAAGTACACAATGCTGTTACAGACTCCTGCAAAGATATCTTCATCACAATTCGCAGGCACGAAAAATGCAATGGAAACGAAGTCAAACGGTAAAAGGTAGATTGCAAAGAGTTCCCATTACAAATAATCCAAATTAGAGACAAAAAGTACCTAAATTTAAGTATTTTCCTTTTAACTCTCAACTATCCTCAGTCATGACTTACACAAGTCATCCTTCAAGCCATGACTTCTAAGACTCATTCTATTCCCGCCTTTAGTTTCACAACTCGAGAAAACTAAGACTATGCTGGTGGAATGGCATCTTTGGCGATACATTCCACACTATTGGTGTTGACAGCCATTGAGGAACTACTAACTTCAGGTACAACCCTTCTTGGAACATCAGATTCTTCAGCAGCAGGCTTGGATTCAGATGGAATAGTTTCCGCCCCAAAGATCATTACTGGTAGGCTGGTTGAGGCAGAGCATGGAACTGTCACAGTCATTGTGGCAGTATCACTTGCAGACAATCCATCCATGTGAGATATGTCATCTCCACATATAATTTTCTTGGCATGCTCCAGTTGAGTATCCTGTGAAATATCTATATCTTGCCTTGACGAAGCTTGTTTTTCAAACATCTTGATCCCATTGGGTTCACAAGCCATGGCTTGAGGTTCAGGTTCAGGAAACTTGGGAGTTTGATTGATACTAAGGTCAATGCTTTTCACATCATCATGAACCAATTCCTGCGGCTTAAGGTCAGAACTCAAGGCCTGGTGTTCAACTTGAGGCTTCAGATTTACAATCTCAGTAGATGGCAAAGTAGCAGTAAACGTTGCTGACAGTGGCTCAGATGTTTTAGGTGTCTCCACATCAATACTTGGTCCCTTCATCGGTTTGAAGGCTTCAAATCCCTCCAGTGACTGATCCTGTCCTACGGATTTATCATTCAGCAATCTAGAACCTAAGATTTGTTCTTGCAGGAATTTTTGACCCAGGGGAAGACTTGTGTCATTTATTGACAAGTTACTAGCTGGAGGAATCAGAATAGAGGCAGATTTGCTCTCACTAGCAGCTGTGGCACCAGACTGAAGCCTAGTATCTAGACCTTGGTCTGGAAGGTTAGGTGCATCATATTTAGGCTCAACAGGTTTCTCACTTTGCCCAGATGGAGGACCCACAGCATGGTGCTGACTTTGAGGGTTTACAAATGGGACAGGAATCTCTTTTCTTTTGTACATCTTAGCATGAGGAGCCACATCATTTGCAGCAGTAATTGGAGTGAATCGCCCCGGCAGAAATACAACACCTCTCAGATGAGTGTTGGTGTCACCTACCTTAACATTAAGAAGATATCCAGCATCAAATGAACCTTCAATGACACCAGAAACCATCTGACCTACTATTTCATCAGAGGCAGGGTTACTTGTTCCCACACTCTGCTCGTTTTTCTTTAGAATGTCAGATGCAGGTGTCGCAGGTGTGCTCTCCCCTTGAACACTCTCATCCTTGCGTGGACGCCCACGTTTCCGCTTCATAGGGGGGTCCACTGAAGAACATAAGCTAGCCCCTTGATTCTGGCTGCTCATCCTGAACAAATGGATGCACAACCTCCTTTATAGTATCTTAATATAATTCCTTTGCAATAGTCTTCCCAAATCTTCCTGCAATCACAAAAGCAATTAAAATTTTTGGCATCGATACGACCAAACAAGAACTGAGCACATTAGAATAAATGGTACAAAACAGTAGTCAATAAAGACTATGCTAATATTTCTTTTGCCATGCTAGTAAATCATATTGCACAGGAATCAACTTTACCAAACTATATGATATCTGGAAATCCTCTAGATTATCATTAACATAAGATTGCCTATTGTTGCAATAGCTATGTGCTCTACTTGGTGTAGGCTCAAGTAATGGTTGATATTCCTACATGCTCAATGCCATAAACAAATTAGAGTAATGTTTTAATTTTCAAAAGTTTTCAATACAATAAATGGATTAGATTTGAACAGCTAATACACCTACTGAATAAAAGTGCAATTGTTGGTGAACTAAGATATGCATGTCAATAAAGTTGTCTATGTAATAGGTAGATTCAAGGACAAGTCAAATTGATATACATTCAATTACAACAAATCTTTGATATCTTTAATTGATGCTTTCCAAATTTTGGCACCTAAGCAGAGGATATACATTCATGATGGATTGTTGCTAGATTTTAATCAATACAGTGGCAAAAACTACATGCTTCCTAGTTTCTCTTTCTACATACAGTTCATTTTAGAATAAGCAGCGGATATACATTCAAGATGAATTGTAGCTAGATACCAGAGTATTGTAATATCTTCTGGGTAGCTCTATGAGAATAACTGATTTTTTTCATTTTAGGGAAATGAAAATATAGACATGATCCAGAAAGGATGTCTGGAAGTGTAACGAGGACCAAAAAATTCTGCCACGGATTCGATATCATGATCAAGGGCCAAAGTTCAAGTCATGGGTTTTGCTTGATCCACTATCTTTACACTTAGCCTACAGCATTGCACCGCTGCACTGGCTGAGGCCCTCCCTGCCATTGAAATGCTAACCAAATCTTCATTTTGAACCATGATTCCTTGCCCAAGTCTCGCATTATCAAGGACATTGAGACTTGAGATAACAACAATTTTCTCAAACAAAAATCATTTCCAACAAGGAATGGTACTCAATAGAGCTAGAAGATCTGCGAGAAATGAATATGGGGAAACTCACAAATAGTAAACAAGGATGAAAGAGATAACTCCAATGTCTCTGCAGAACAAACATAAAGCCCAAATCCATTCTAAAAACGAATGCGGAACAATCTATACATTCGAAGAGGGCAACCTCTATTCCAACAAAACCAGATTGATCTTGGATCAAAACACACCTCGGATATGAAGAAAACTTTATCCCTTAATCATAACCCAAATCAGTCAAGATTGAAGGCATGATCACCCTTTCAACACATTTCAAATATCTCATGGGTTTTAGAAGTGAAAAAGTCACAATGGGTACAAACGAAAGGACACCATAATTTTCACCAATCTAAAGAGGCAAATGACTCTCATCTAAGTCCTGAACTGAACCCACAATCCCCAAATAAAATCTCCCACTCATTTCCATCAAGAAATAAAAGAAAGAAGGAAAGAAAGAAAGAGAAAAACCCACTAATCAGTTGCGGTTTCTTTCATGTTTTTCCCATTACAAATTTTTTTACTATGAAACCAAACCTGTAACGCAATGATAACATAAAAGTAAAACTACAGTTTTTAAGGTGGAAGAAGGAGATAAAACTAACGCACCTGCGCTGTAAGGAAGATTCCAAATCACCTGAGTGAAAAATGGGTGGTGAGATAATCAATAAACAAATCCAAATTTTGCTGATTTATTAGTTAGAAAAAATTATTATTTTATTATTATAATTTCTGTTTCTGCTTTATTTTATTTTATTTTCTTTTCCTGATTTCCTCGGAGTTTTGCTGTTTGGTTCGCGGGATAGTATTATAACCGAAGCGCAAGGAAACCAGGAACGGGCGCTACGAGCTTCCTGTTTATTTGGGCCTCCACAAACATGAAAAGAGTGTTTCTTTGGGCTTCGATTCGCCTAAAGCAGCAACGGATAACGAAGAACATGGGCCTCGAAGCCCTCTTTGTACGCCTGGTGGGACTCGAACCCACAATGTGCGGCGGTGGGAAAGATCAAGAAACCAGACACGATCTCAAAGTGGGTCCGTAAACGGTTCCCCCGGCGAGGAGGTACTTTTTGTCCACGAGACAATCTAACATTCTCATAGCCAAGAAAAATCACAATTCAACGATAATAGATAAACTCATTCCCTTGTTTTAGTTTTGATTTTCTTGGTACTATTGTTTGTTGTCTGCGTTCTTTCTCTATCCTTGACACAGCCATAACCATGGCTTCCTTGCTAGCCAACCGCATCTCAATCTTCACACCACAACCCACCTCAGATTCAACCAAGTTCGGGAAAGGGTTTTATCAAAAGCTCGATTCCGTCAAACCCATGGCGCAAAAACCCCCAAATTCAAGGCTTTTCAAGGTCAGGGCAGATGTGGGTTTTGATTCTCAGACCCTGACGTCAGATCCCAGCCCTTCATCAGGTAAATCCTACGATGAGAAAATCCAGGAAATTCTTCGAAACCGTGATTATAATAAAAAATTTGGCTTTAGTATGGATATTGATTCGTTTTCGATACCCAAAGGGCTTTCTAAAGAAACAATTCGTTTAATTTCTTCTTTGAAGGAAGAACCCGATTGGATGTTGGAGTTCAGATTGAATGCTTATGAGAAATTTTTGAAAATGAAAGAACCTAAATGGTCTGATAATCGATACCCTCCCATTAACTTCCAAGATATTTGTTATTACTCTGCACCCAAAAAGAAGCCTACTTTGAATAGCTTAGACGAGGCTGACCCTGAACTTCTTAAGTACTTTGATAGATTGGGTGTACCTTTGAATGAACGTAATCGATTGGCTAATGTCGCGGTTGATGCGGTTCTTGATAGTGTTTCAATTGCTACTACACATAGGAAGACTTTGGAGAAGGCTGGGGTGATTTTTTGTTCAATATCCGAGGCAATTAGGGAGTACCCTGATTTAGTTAGGAAATATTTGGGGAGAGTTGTGCCTATTGGGGATAACTATTATGCAGCTTTGAATTCAGCTGTTTTTAGTGATGGGTCATTTTGTTATAAACCTAAGGATACAAAATGCCAATGCCAATTTCAACTTATTTTCGGATCAATGCATTGGAAACTGGGCAGTTTAGAGGACTTTGATTGTTGCTGATGAAGGGAGTTTTGTGGAGTACTTAGAAGGATGTACCGCACCTTCTTATGACAGGAATCAACTTCATGCTGCTGTTGTTGAGTTGTATTGTGCTAAGGGTGCTGAGATTAAATACTCCACCGTGCAGAATTGGTATGCTGGCGATGAGGAAGGAAAAGGTGGGATTTATAATTTTGTTACGAAGCGTGGACTTTGTGCTGGAGATCACTCGAAGATATCATGGACCCAAGTGGAGACAGGGTCTGCAATTACTTGAAGTACCCAAGTGTTGTTTTGGAGGGTGATGATACTGTGGGTGAGTTTTACTCTGTAGCACTTACAAATAATATCAGCAGGCAGACACGGGAACAAAGATGATACACAAGGGTAAGAATACAAGAAGTAGGATTATCTCGAAGGGTATTTCAGCTGGAAATTCAAGAAACTGTTACAGAGGGCTTGTTCAGGTTCAATCAAAAGCAGAAAACGCTAGGAATTCCTCACAATGTGATTCAATGCTAATTGGTGATAATGCTGCTGCAAACACCTATCCATACATCCAGGTACATATGCTTATTTATTAGCTTTTTTTTTCCCTATGTTGCATTGAGTACTTGTGTCTTCACTAGTTTTTGTGTGCCTTTTTCTTTATGATTTTATCATGTGGGTAAGTAGGTGGCTCCCCCTTTTTTTTATTTGCTTTTCCTGCTCACCCATGGAATATGCTGTGGTGAAACTCAAGCTTTTGAATTGATATTTTGGAGTATGAATGTGTGTGTTTTTCCTGTTTATTCCAACTCCTTGTCTGTCTGTGTGTAATACTCTATCCTAACCATGTTTACTCTCATAACCAACAAGAGCTCCTTTATTCAACCTCCCATGAATAGAATACTGGAATGCTAGTTGGGGTAGAACTTGATTCTCATCCTTGTTTTGACACAAATCTCCTTGATGTTTGTACTGTCATAGTTACTTCTTTACAGTGGCATTACTCTGTCTGACTTACAGCTTTTATTTGTTGCATCATGAAACTAGTGGCTATATTTTGTTGCTTATGATTGGATTCCTGTTACTTAACAGGTTAAGAATCCCTCAGCTCGCGTTGAACATGAAGCCAGCACTTCCAAAATCAGTGAAGATCAGTTATTTTACTTTCAGCAGAGAGGAATTGACTATGAGAAGGCCATGGCGGCAATGATTTCTGGGTTTTGCCGCGATGTTTTCAATGAGCTTCCTGATGAGTTTGGTGCTGAGGTGAACCAACTCATGAGTCTGAAGCTTGAGGGATCCGTGGGTTAAGCATGATTTGATATTCACTCAATTTAGGTTATGCTGGCTAATGAGATAATTTTGTTAGTGAATTAAATAATGTTTGAGTTCATGAAGATCCTTTTGTAAATGACTAGTTACCTTTAATGTACTTTACTGTCCCCAGAGTGTCCATTGGAACGATAAAATTCATGTTTCATGGAAATTTTCACCTAACCTCTGTATATATACTTTTTTCTTGACCTAGAACAACTGTATACGAGTTCATATTTAGGCAAAATTTTGTTTGATGTGAAGTCTTATGTATTGCTGTGATATTAAGCATTGGCAATAGAGCAATGAGATTAAAGTTTCTTTTGTTACTTTGGCTTGAACCATGGGTTCCAATAATTTTTATTCTTGCTACTGATCTTTGGTATCATTCTTCCGATTAGATTAATCAGGATAAACTCTTGGCAAAAAGAGGAAAAGGAGCTGCCTTTCTTAACCTAGGATAACCTCAAATTGTTGATGGAGATGAGACTCGATCAAATACAAGTATGAACAGAAGAGACCAACAAGGTTCCATGCTCGCTCAAATAATTTAACAGACTATCATTGGTGGGGCTGACTTTTGCAGAAAGGAATTGTCTACCCGTTGTGGCTCTAGCCTTTGTCCCCTCACCTAGTTTGACACTTATTTTGTTTGAATGACTAATTTTTTCCAAAGATGCTTCATGCCGGTAGAAATTTGGTCTGTTTTGCATTTGCCCCTTTGACTTCATAGCTCTCCAACCACTAATATAAATGCCGTCTTCGTACACTCAAAACTTTTACCCGGACGGTGTGCTCTCTGATCACACAAACAGCTGGATAGTATGATTCAGTGTATGCTACAGTGAATAACAAGAAATAAGAAAAATAACATATATATGCATTGAGCTAAACCCAACATTAGAAACATATTTATGGTAATATTCATCACTATAATTTTGGGGATTCCGGCTTATACCAGGTAGTCAACCACATGGTTCATTTTACTCTGCTTTGTTCTGCTGCTGCCTGAATATAATTTGATGGTAGAAATAGATATGCAATTTAACTAATTGAATCCCACAAAGCAGAGTTGTTCTCTGTTTTTTAACTCCAAAGTCCAAGATGCATATTGATTCATTGATTACCTCATGGGATTCTGGCGTTAATGATAAAATATAAACAAACTTAGCTTACGTCAGTACCTTCGACATACTCCATGCTAAGGTTGGCCGTCTGGAGCAGCCTGTTTTTATGTATGTTTAGTATTAAAGAACACCCAAATTTAAATTGATGAAACCTGAAAAAGGAAATATTTAATTTGTTGGAAGAGAAAAGGCCTTGTGATTATCTAGTGGCATGCTGGTCCCGAGCAGGTCAGTTTTCACACTGATGTAAGGCCAGCTAATTGAAAACCAAATTTTCTCCTACAATTTTCATATTAGTGCACATGTACAGCTTCATCAGCATAGGACATCCTCGATGCCTTAGTTCCTTCTATAAATATTGTTTCAAGCCGAAGTCACATCTTTCTCTTGTTCCACTCCTTATTTCTTTCAACTTTCCCTGGTAGTAAAGTTTATCCCTGGAGAAAAATGGCTCTTCTGAGGAGATCATATGCTTACTCCAAGGTGGATAAGGAAGACCCAGAAGAGATCATCCATCGACGGGCACAGTTCTTGATCTACAAAGCGCTGGAGCAAGCAGATTCCAGAAGAAAATCATCGTTTCTACGAATCAGATTGTGTAGGCTGAAGGTAAAGATCGGGAGAAGATTGAAGAAGTTGAGGAAGTGTGCGTTGGTTTGTATTTCTGCACCAAGAGCTGGTGTTTACAAGCAGGTTATTGATCAATTGAAAACTTGGAGACGCTTGTTTAACCGTGGTGGAGGAACCATTTCCAGCCTCCCTCGTCCATTGTTGGCTTAAAGATATGCTACATTAAGTGTTTCTCCTTTTGCTTTGTTAAGAATATAAGAGTGATTGTGTTTTCTTCTTGTTGCAGTGACAAGATTTTCTTGCTTCTTTTCTGGTAGTATCTTGGCATTGTCTCTTTTTGTTCTACACATTACTCAGATCTTCCCAACTGAAAAATAGATCATTCCGAAATCTACTTTCCTTTTTGCTTGAAACCATTTTCTTTGCCCCCCTTTCTATTGCATATGCAAAGAACATAACCAAATCAATGACGACATGATCAATGGAAACAAAAGATGTAACAGGCTTGATCAAATGCACACCAATATGCTTGAAGGTTCATCGGCTGTGACAAGCCTGCAAATATGCAGACAGTTTGTGGCATCTGCTTGTGAGTAAGAGAAGATAGAGCCTGTTCCATTGATTTTTCAGATCAACCCAAAAAAAGGGCATCCTTGTTAGATTGTGGTCCTCATTCCAGCTAGGGTCCTCCGCAAATTTAGGATTGAACCCAAACTGAGATTTGAGACATGCCACATGGGTTCAACTGCCTGCAGCAGTTTGCTTATTACTGAGATGTTGGAGACAAAGCAAGCACATTCAAAGAGTGAAAGCCAGACACTTTACCCTCTTTCCCATCATGCCGGACTGTCCTGGCTGTACTCCCCCATAGAATCAAATAATTAATTATCGATTGGCTCGTTGCCGGTGGCCAAGTGGCCTCTGGTCAACCCAGCAAGAACAATCCGGCCCAATTAATGCTTTTAAAAAAACTGCCTTTTTGGGTTCTCGAATAGATCATTGGATATTCTACTTCTTTGATTTTACATTCAAAATAGCAAAGAAACAATGGATGGCACTCGTTTCTTCATCAAAATTCTCATCATATTCATGCACCGCACACCGATCAAAAGCTTGTGACCACGTTTAGGCCTCAAATTTCGCATGTCAGTGTCACTGACAAGCTTGGAGTCAAGCAGCAAGCTTCACATTCCATACGGATTCACATGTTATTGACTGAGGTTACTTGATCATGTCACATGTTTTTTTCCTTCTTCTTTTTTTCTATATTTTTCATCAAATATTCTCATCCCCTTTTTTTAGGATGTTTATAGCTATTTCTATTTTCAGTATACATTAAAGTCAACGTAAAAGTCAAAGAATGACAAACACGTAAAAATGGAAAAAGTTTACAGTATATTTCCATTTTTATATGACATTAGGATTGGTCCCAAAAATTGTTAATCAGGGACTTCGACCTTTATTAATATATAAGTTAATTTCACAAGATCGACCGCAATTTGATTTAGTAGTTTTCGTCTGTATGAAACTAAAGGAAAATCAATATTGTCAATATATTAATACAATACATAATATTTCATCAGAAATTTTTAGAGTTTTATATAAAACGATTTATGAAATTAAACTCCTATTCTTTTATTGTAATAAAAAAATCCTTATTTTTTTATTTTTACTTTCAAAAGATATTAATTTTAATAAAAAATTAACCGTCATCAAATTCAATGTAAATTAATATTTTTTATTCACCTGACATATAACGTAAAATCGAACGTAATCACGTAACTATATAACAATGGATGAAAAATGGGTCATATGACCATCTCATGTGCTATATAGATAAAAGTTATTAACTGATATTATTGTTGTTAATTTTTTCTTAAGATTAAGGGCTTGTATGAGTCCAAATAAAAAAAAAATAAAGACTTGTTTAAGTACCATAAGAGTTTAGTTATATAAATTGTCGTAGTTCAATTGAATTTTTTCTAGTAGTGTAAAATATAAGAAAGAACATGATGAAAGATGAGTCTAAAATTCTATTACGAAATCATGGGCTGATGCTGAGGAATGGGCCATAGGTTAATCAAAAGAAAACATTGGGCCCAGGGGAAGCAGACGTTTCCCGTGGGCTTCACACTGAGGGTCCAAACAGGTTGATGACGTGGAGCTGTGAATTTATTAAGGAAAAAAATCTGTTATCCAAATATCTCAAGGAAAAAAAACAACTCAAAACCAAAGGAAGAAAATGAAAAAATAAGCTAGTGGACTTGTCTTTATCCCATTTTCAATCTCTGTTTTTCACATCTCTAATATTACAAGATACAAAACAAAACCAATAAATTGAACAAAGAAGTCAACAATGAGTCAATCAACAAATCTTTCTGTATTTTTTTTTATTTTTCCTTTGGGTTGATGGGTCTCGACCAGCTGTGAGGCTATCAACAACAAAGCTGCTGCAACTTGTTGATCTATGATGGATGGCAATTGTTGGCAACGGCAAGGAAAGAAGGAGATTTGCTGGTTAAGAAGGTGTAAAGATAGAAAGGGAAACCATAAAGGAGATAAGGAGGTTGTAGAGGTTTAGTTGGAATCGTGGCTTGTGAGGGTTGTTGGTGGAGGAGGTCGACGGAGGGGAAGGTTCAACACAGACAGGAACGAGCAGGGTAAGTGCAGGACAGGGGAGAGGAAGGAGAGCGAGGGAGTGAGTCAGTTTTTTCGGCCAAGGAAATTGTTTTACGTCTTTCAACGGCATAAGACAATTTACAAAGTCAATTAGTTATTTTCGGTTGACTTGTAAAAATTTTTTACTCCTGAAAATTATTTTCGATCTTCCAAACACTCGAAATGGCTGAAAATATTTTCTGGAAGTCATTTTCACCTGTACCAAACGGATCCTTAGTAACGAAATTGATATTTTAGTTTCCACGTTTTCTTTATATTGTAGTACATTTATTAATGATACGAGCTAACTCAAATATATTGTTGATTAGCTTATTTGAATTATTTATTGGTTGTTTTGTTTTTGGATGCTGGAAACTTGGAGCTTTGGTTTGCTTTTGAGCTGGGTAAAAGCTAAGGAAATTGTTTAGGGATATAATAGTTTCGAAATTTTGATGAATGTGTGTGTAATTGATGGAAATTTTATGTGCCCAATTTATACTGTTTTCGTGGATATCGGTCATTATGGCACAGATCTAAGTTGCATCATTTGAGACCGGACAAATGAAAATTATCTCATGCTTTTGATGGGAGCTTGAGAGGAAAAGACTTTGATGAAGTTTTGTTCAATTATTTTCCATCCCAATTTAAGGAGCAATATCTATTGATGTTTATACAAATATAAAGGCGTGTATTAAGATAAAGGACGGCATCGTGTGATATGTGGAAGAAATTCTCGAGTGCAAATGTAGAAGTGCAACTTAATATAGAGTGCTTGATGGATGAGAAAGATGTTAAGGGTTCTATCAAGAAGGAAAGTTTGAGAGATTGTCATTAGACTCGTTAGACGATTAGTGTACCTTGTCACAGGCTTTATGCATGATCAGCACTAACCCTGAGTTATCACTTTAGCCATTTTACCTCACGATTTTCTCAAAAAAGTTACCTTACAGGCTGAAGCAGTGTGAATTCTTAAATTCTTAATATCATTTAATATACAATCGATGTGAGATTCATAATCTCTTTTAAACCATTACATCCTCCTTGACTACCCTTTGGGAACTTCTCTTCAATATGGGATTTATGGCTCCCCGCCAAGACCATGTATTTTTTTTTTTGATATATTCTATTTATATTTGAAAACTAAACCTAATTTTACATAAACCAAACTACTTTAGACTAATAACACTTAATTTGAGCTTAGAATAAGTGTAGAGCCCATAAAACTTAAGTCAACTTGCATCTTTTCCTTTTCGATAGTAATTTTTTCAATTACTCCTCTTCAATGCCACGTGTTATGGTCCACAACCAACCTTGTAAGGTATTGTCTGCTTGGCTCACTACCTCACGATTTTATCCCACAAAAGACACCTCACAGGTGAAGATGGTGTGGACCCTTGTATGCCCAATATCATTCTAGTACATAGTTGATGTAGGATTCATGGCTCTCCTTTCGAGGACCATGACATCCCTTACTCCCCACTAGAAGTTTTCCTTTGATGTGGGACTTTATGACTTTGCTACAAGCATTATTATTGACAAGTGAGATTCACGTCCATGCGAAGACAATGACATCCTCTCCCACTTCAACAAGGGCCCACTATCTTTAATTGCAGATCACTAGTATCCAAAGTCTACTTTGATACTAATTGTCACAAACTACGCTATTTTGCTTAAGTATTTGATAGCCCATGCAGTGCTTGAGTGGAGTTTCCACTCAAGCTAGCCAAATAACTCAAATCTTAACAAACAACAAAAATAGCCACAAGCACCCGAGTATTTGGCTCATTGGTTGGTGCACTATCTCCCTACTTAAAAAACAGAGTTTCAAATCCCCACTCCCCCAATAATAAAAAGAAACAAGTCTATAAAAAATAAAAATAGTCACAAATTAGATTAAGGCAACGCAACATTAAAATAAAAAAGTATAACAAATGCCATATACGCAAACACTAGAGCCAAAAAAAATATTTTATTAATATTGAAATAAGTACAAAGGGACTCAAAACACCACCATCAGGCCATAGGGGCAACCCTAGATGACTCACTACTAACATACCTTTCCCAGTGAAGCAATCCAACAATCCACCGACTCTCACCCCTTAATAAAATATTACAAAGGTTTTACAAGTATTTCACAATAACCACTACAACATATGAGATAGGGACATTTCCTTCCTAAAAGGGTTTCCCCATAAAGACTTAACAAGAATTTTTAAAGTTGTCACCAAATGCCATTACAATGTTTAAAGGGGCACCTCTTTGCAGGTACAAAAGACTTAATCTCCTATCAACTCTACCCTTCAAAGCCTATACAAGGTTGGCTCATGACACCACGTCACCCTATTTATGCTATATGTCACAGACTATGCTCCTTCGTTAAAGAATGCAATTGTTCGTGCGGTGCTTCAGTGGAGGTTCCACACAAGCCACCAATAACTCGTTATATTTAACAAACATTAACAATAGTAACAAATTAGACCGCAATGAACATCAAAATTATAGGGCATACTTAATGTCATATTCGCAACCACTAGAGCCATATAAAGGAAAAT